TGGCACAAAAACAGAAATATAGATCAATGGAACAGGATAGAAAGCCCAGAGATAAGCCCAGAGATTAGGTGACTTATGGTCACCTAATCTATGACAAAGGAGGCCACAATATACAATGGAGCAAAGGCAGCCTCTTTAATAATTGGTGCTGGGAAAACTGGACAGCTACATGTAAAAAAATGAAATTAGAACACTCCCTAAATCAAACACAAAAATAAACTCGAAATTGATTAAACACCTAAATGTAAGCCCAGACAGTATAAAACTCTTAGAGAAAAACATAGGCAGAACACTCTTTGACATAAATCGCAACAAGATCTTTTTTGACCCACCTCTTAGAGTAATGAGAATAAAAACAAAAATAAAAATATGGGACCTAATTAAACTTAAAAGATTTTGCACAGCAAAGGAAACCATAAACAATACAAAAAGACAGCCCTCAGAGTGAGAGAGAATATTTGGAAATGAAGCAACTGACAAAGGATTAACCTCCAAAATATACAAACAACACAAGCAGTTCAATATCAAAAAATGAACAACCCAATCAAAAAATGGGTGGAAGACATAAATAGACATTTCTCCAAAGGAGATAAACAGCCGGCTGACAAACACGTGAAAAATGCTCAACATTACTAATCATTAAAGAATGCAAATCAAAACTACAATGAGACCTCACTTCACACTGGTCAGAATGGCCGTCATCACAAAATCTACAAACAATAAATGCTGGAGAGTGTGTGTAGAAAAGGAAACCCTCTTGCACTGTTGGTGGGAATGTAAATTGATACAGATTTGACAATTCTGTTTAAAAAAAAGAAATGTAGTTTAATAAGCATATAAAAAGGGAAAGATTCAAAAATGAGATGAGAAAGAGGTTAACATCAATATTTATATGCTGGTAGTAGTGACATAGTATGGATGAAGGAATTTATGTTGCAGAAAATAATGTCAGGATGAATGTCCTTTAATGATAGGTGATAGAGAACAGAAGCAATTTACCGGTAGAAGGAATAACCACAGACAGGAACAGGGAAACCAGAGAAAAGCACAGTGTATGACTGCAGATCTCTGCAGGATGCTAGGTGTTAGTGGTAAGATAAAGAAGTTCTCTTCTGATCACTTTTACTTTCTCAGGAATATGAGAGACAAAGATTTAAACTGAAATTTAAATAGAGGGAAGATTGATGGGAATTTAAAAAGAGAAGAGAGAGCCAGAAATAATAAGCTAGGATGCTGGGAAACTGGATTGATTAGTGAGAAGCAGCATCTGTCAGAGGCACCAACGGCTTCCTTGAGGTCTGTGGTCAGAGAGTCAAAGTAAGAGCAACCAATGTAGAGTGTGAGAGTCTGTGTGTGTGTGTGTGTGTGTGTATGTGTGTGTACACATACTTGTATTTTTTTCTCCTGTTCTATGCCACCCATGTGAATGAAAAGTATATGGGAGGTTGGGATTAACTTCAGGATAGAGGTGTTTTGATATGAGTGTTATGGAAGGAGACAGAGGCAGGATAATGCAAGTAAGGCAGTGGTTATAACTGTGAGCCATGGAATTAGGTTGGGCAAAAAGGAGATAAGGATCTGGTAGGAAGAAGAGGCAAAAATGAGGTTTGAATGTGGCATCAGTGAACAAGAATTCTTGAGAGAGCTTTGAGTTTCCTGCTCACCTCTTCAGCCAATGCCATGCTGTCCTGCTGCCACTGGCTGTAGCACATCTCTTAATGGTTCAATTATGTATAAAACATAAATATCTGTTATTAGGGAAATGTTCTCACCTTTATAGTTTATTAAGTACAATTTTGATTTTTGATATCTCTTAATCTATTTCTTTATCTATACACATATATATGTATCTACCAATATATAAATGACATTTCAATCTTAATCCAAACCAGTTTTTTTCAAGGCCTTTTCTGATTGCTTCCTTAAATTCACCTCCCCAACTCCTAACCTTATCCCAGCCCTTTATAATCTCTTTTCTACATAATTTTTCCCTATGGCAATTAATATATCTGCTCTATACCATATTAAGTTATGATCTCTCTCAAATATATGTATATTAAGGAGAGAGTAAATATGAATGAATTACTTTTTATGATCATAGCTTTCTAGAAGAAGTATGAGAATTGAATCCTCCAACCCTTCCAGGAAACAGTTTAGCAGCTGCTAGTCTCTGATACACCTGGCCTGAAATGAAGGCTAAGTCAACTCAGAATTGACTACATCTACAGAGACACTTTGATTACATCAGTTACTGTGTAGTGATTTCAAGCTGAGGGTCATAGCAGACCACCAAACCAGGTGTGAGACCCCCTTCACAATGGCCTGTGAGTTGGGTATTTGTAAACTTCCAACAAATCTTTCTGAAATTAAGAAGAAAACTCATTTATTCCAATATGAGAAGCCTACAATACAGTTAATGAAAAAGCAAGCATAATTTTCTGAGTTCAAAATTCAAATTTTCCTTGGAAAACAGGCCACACAAAATCCAATTTAGAGCTTGAAAGGAAGCCCATGGAATCATTATTCCTTAAGTGGCCTTCCCAAGAATCAGTTATACATATGTGCTATATGAATATGGGTTTATGTGAGCATCATCCCAAAAAAGCTTGAGACCCCAAAATAACTGAAAATACAGTGTTTCAGAACCCAATGAATCAATGAGAGGAAGTTGCAGATTTTTCATTAAAAATAAAAAGGGGAAATAATTTGACTCATCAATGATTTATAAAATGATATTTAGTTCAGTGATACACTTTACTATTTATATTTTATTAACTGTTCATCATTCATGAATATTTATGGAGCACATATGAGGTGAGGGCATTTCTCACCACCTCTGCTGGGCAGTGCTAATCTAACTCACTATAATCTGTCACCTGGACCATTTCCAAAGCTTTCTGATAGGCCTCTCTGCTTCTATTACTGAAACTCTCTACTTCATTCTCCACACAGGAGTCAGCATCATTTAATGAGCATGTAAATTAAAAACAAACAGAATGTAAAAATTAAACCTTTCATTTTCAATCTCACTCTGTCCTCAAATTACTGCTCCATTTCTTGTTTCCTTCTTTAAAAATAAAAATATTCATTTAATAAACTGTGTATTCAACTCAGCACTTTTCTCACATTTTCTCTTAAATCCACTTCAAACAGAATTTTGCACCCTCCACTCCAGCAAAACTGCTTCCTTGACAGTGTCACCAATGATGTTTGTATTGCTAATGCCAATGGTTAATACTTAGTCCTTATTTTACTTGACATAATAATATTTGACAACATTGATCACTCCCTCTACATGAAATAATTTACATGCCTTTCCAAACTCTATCTGCTCTTGTTTTTCCTCCTGTATCACTGACTGCTCTTTTAAATTTCCTTTGCGAGTTCTTCCTTCTCTCCTGGAACCCTAAATATCACAGTGCCTCTGGGCTCAGTCCTTGGTCCTCTTCTCTCTTCTATCCACACTCACTCCTTTGTGAGCCTACCCAGCACCACAGTTGTATATCTGAAGACCCCCACATGTATATTTCAATTGGAGACCACCTCATACAGTCAACTGTGCATTCAGCTTCTCCACTGGGGTGCCTAATTGGCAACTCAATCTTAGATTTTGAAACAATGCTAAGAACCATAGCTTGCAGTGAAATAGGTTGTGAAAAGAAAAACAAAGAACACATTAATCCTTCAAATTTTAGGATGAATTTAAAGTATCAGAACAATGTGTTATATCAAGTAATTTTACAAAACATGTTTCTCAGTCGTATTCAGCTCCATGTGTCATTTCTTATTTTAACAATGTTAGCGTGGTAGCAGCTGCAAAACAATAGCATGGGGAATGGTATTGCTAGTTGGATATGTGTGGTCCCAAGTACAAATCTCAATCATTTGGAAGATGAGGGGCAATATGAAAATTAGAAAAGATACTTTTATAGCCAGAATGTATTGCTTCTTATTTATGTAATAACATCTGTAGACTGTAGTTCAATTTTTTTTTTTTTTAAATTTCAGCCAAGACTTCTGTGTCTGTAACAATTGTTACCAAGGTAACCTTTCCTGAAGTTATCATTATTCCCCAGGAAGACACCTGTATATATTTTCTTCAGGGGTCAGCTTCCTATTGCTTTTGACCACTTATTCACTGGAAATCCTTCTAGTTCTTTATCAGTTTTGCTTTTCAATATCATTTCTATTTGTCTAGTTTTTTGGTTTTTTGTTTTTTGCTTTTTACTCCTAAGAGTATAGAATCTAATATTAGATTCACTTAGCCAGCTTCTCTCAGGAAAGAAACACAAAAGATCCCAGTGGTGAAGAATTCAGGCATTAATAAATTATGATTTGAGATTTGAATACATTCTTGCTGGGCCCACATAATTAATATTGGTATGCCAAAACAATATAGCTTTTTGTATTTCATAAAAGCAAATTCTCAGCAGAAGTTTAGAGGGCTAATGTTCTTTCCTAAGTTCATTGATGACTTTTGCATTTATTTTTGGATAGAATTTATGCTGTGGAATGATTGATATTGAGGCAACTGGCTCCAAATCGTATTTTCTCCTGGAACTTTAAATTCACAAGGGCTCCTGGATTGATTTCTAGCATATAAGTATGTTTAAAGAGCTAAACTTACTCTTTATATTTTTTTAAAGTAACATTTGTGTAATGGATATAACAGTACTATTTCTCTTAGATTATTCATACAACAATGCCTTTTCTGTATTACAAGCATATAAACATACTTTAGATAAACTTCAATTCAAAAAAGCATAAAAATGTAAAATACCTTGATGTATAATTCATATATTTCTTAATGTTCAGTTAATTTTAGATTAAAAAGCATAAATTTTGTTTTTACTAGTTTCTTTTACAAGAGACAAAGAGCCTCTTGACTCTCCTGCCCCACTTGCATGGAACAGGTTAGTTCAGGATTTGCAGAGTAGATATGAGGATGCCAGTTATTTACAACCAACATGTTGATACAGACAGAGCAGGTAGAAATTTACCTGAATAACCAGGAGCACAGAGGCAGATGTATCCACCTGTTCTTTTGACACAATTTTCTCCATCGGGACAAGGTGAGATTTCACATTCATTTATATCCAGTTCACAGAAAGATCCATGATACTCAGGTTCACAATTACATAGAAATCTAGAGAAAAAAAGAGAAATAATGTAACAACAAATAACATTTCATTATATACATAATTCATATATATATTAAATTTCAGACTTTTAACTAAATTTACAGAAATTGAAATATTTTTATTTAATTTTTTTCTTTGAAGAAAATACAATTCACCTTTGTTGGTTTAAAACCTCGGGAGTTCCCCAAGTCAAATTATAAACTGACCCCATATAGAGAGAGCAAGAATAAACCAAAGAAAGAGGCAGACCACCCCAGATCAGTAGATGGCAGGTTTAATACATAAGGGAACTTAAGTTAGAGGCTTGTCTTGGGAGGTCACAAGATGAGTAGATCTCTGAACCTGCCCACCAGAATCTTAAGAGTTTATATAGACACCTTAAGGAGGATTAGTCGTGTACCGTCCAGATGGTCTCAATAACACATTATCATCTCAAGGCTGTATCCTTGATGTGGCTCCTAGTATGGGAATGGTGGGAGGATGCACATATCAAGAATGGGGATGGAGTTAGGAGCCTCCCATTGCCCTGGTCCATCTCATGAGTCAACCAAAGGTCAAGTCAACTTGATGACCTCCTCCAACAATCTTCTAGATATTTTTCTCCTTAAAAGTTCTTTATTTGGGAGTGTTTTTTAAAATTAATGTATTTGGGTAAAAAATTACTGGAATTTCATAGATAATATTGACCTTAATTCTGTACCTGTATTTCTTTTGTTATAGTATAAATATCACCTTTAACTATATTCTATGTTGAAAATTGAAAATTATTCTCTCCATGGATTGAATAACATTTTTTCCTGATACTAAAGTCCTTCTGATTAATTTTTAAAAAATTCTTTTAACAAAACAATTTCATTAGTGACTAATTATAGTAGCAGATGTTGCAGAAATTGAATGTTATTCAATGATTAGATGTTGGGTTCAAAGTGTCATGAACTTAATGGGCAGAGGGACTCTCAAAAGCCTTGTCATTGAGAATGACTTCCAGAAACATCATCTGACCCCCGTTTCAATGTCCAGCTGTCTCCTCTTTATCTTATGCATCAGCGTCTGATGACTCTGAGTTTCTGAGTTCAGATTTGCCCTCAACTCTTATTTGGAAGTGTTTCTTTGTTCTTATGAGCATTTACTTCTATTGAGTCAGATCTCAATTGACTCTTGACTGCTTTCCTCTGTAGTCTAAGCTGTGGCAGCTACAGATATAAGTACATGTGGCAAGATCACTTTGAATTTATTCTCAGTCTCTTCTTGGATAGTGTGCCCACCAAGTTTATGTTTAAACATCTAGTCAGTCTGTATCTGTTTGCCAGAAGGGAGAAGACCAATCCTCCTTAGATGAATTGTGACTAGTTTTAGTTATGTGTTGGTGGAATAGCATCAGTAAAAGCAACAACCAAATAATTGATGATAAAACAAATAAATAATGTTAAGAGGAAGAAACAAGTAATTTAGTCTTTCCTAATTTAACTTCTATATTCATAAAAATATTAATGAAAACATGGAACAAATTTCTATAGATAAAATTAAATTGAGAGAAAAGTGCACTTAGCAAAACAAGCTCTATATAGTTGCAATTCTCCCCCATCTTGTAGAAGTCTAGAAAAAAGCTTTATCAAATATCCTTTCAATGCTTTTTTCTTTCTTTTGGCTGCACCATGGCATGCAGGATCTTAGTTCCCTGACCAGGGATCGAACCCATGCCCCCTGCAGTGGAAGCACAGGGTCTTAACCATTGGATGACCAGGGAAGTCCCTCAGTGTTTTTGAGACAGATTTTTATTCTGATTTTCTGAGGAAACCTCTTCCTAATTGTTTCAACATAATCATAATTTCAACAAAAATCATAACCACCAGAAATCTAATATATCCAAGCTCCCCATTCACCACACATTAATTTACTGAATGCCAAACATTAGTCATATACCCAGACCCAAGTGTAAATAAGCTTGGTTTTGCTTTTGAAAGTCTCATAGACAATTTAGGGACATGGACATGTAAACCAGGACAGTAAAGATATGCCAATAAAGACAGGTGTACAATCCTATAAAAGCAGAGCTAACTTCTAGAGAAAGTGACAGAAAAGGTTTTACCAGTTAATCATAAAGAAAGAGTGGAATCTTTGAATCTGTTGGACAGAATGCATTAAAATTGCATGTCTAATGTCATGCTGTTATAAGAGAGTACTGTACTTCTCAAGAGCTCTCAACATGGTAGGGAAATGACTGTAACCAACTTTTTTAGGGTAACATTAATCCAGTTACTATGACTCCCTGAAGGTATGTTCAAATGGGGGAAATTTTCTCCATCTCCACTATCTCACTAATATCTTCCTATCCATAAAGAATCTTGTAAATGCTTTTTAAAATCAAGATATACTTGCTAATAATATTGTCCTTAATTGCTGTTGTGTGTTCTCAGTGAACCCATGATGATTCCAAGTGGTCATAGAGTAGGCTGGAGCTGGGCACAGTGTTCTCAGATGTGGCAGTAAAAGGTATGTCCAGGACATACATTTTTTCATACTGATAAACTTGAAAATGTTGTATTACTACAAAATACATAATATAATGACTTTAATTTCAATTTATACATTTGTTGCATGTACTTAGGACAGTACTATCATATTTCCAAAAGTTGCAAAATCTACTTGGGAGTCTGAAATGTTGAATATTAGAAGTTATTTTAGGACATCTTTCTTCTCAATGATAGATTTATAATAATGACCACTGACTTTCTCAATCTAATCTAAATAGCAATTTATTCATTAAACTTATAGAGCTTCCTCTCTTTCTGTCTCTCCTTTATTTCTCTCAGTTTGAAAATGAAGAAATATCCATATCCCTTGTCTTTTGCCACCAAAATTTCATTTTCTGTGATTATAGAAAGGTTCCTGAGTGGTTTCATGATCAAATCAGTACCCTAGAATCTGGAGATTTCAACCAACTTAAAATAAGAGATGTTCTTCATTAATGGTTCTAACTGAATCATCTCTATATAATTTGCCAAATGGTACTTTTCTAACTCATCATTTATTCTACATTTACCAGATGACTTTTGACTGTTAGGAGGAGCTTTTCATTTTCTTTCATTCATTTATTCATTTGTTCATTTATTCAGTTATTGATTTGTAGCTATATGAATTCACGATTTTTATTTTATTCACTGTGTCAAATATATAACTATTATATTGATTTTGATACTCAGTTTGTGTGAGATTCGGATAGTGGGAACCTCTTCAAGCTGTCTCGAATCTTTTTGACCCATCTCCATCATTCTTTGAGCACTTGCTTACTTTCTAGCAAGATGTTCCAGGTTTATCTTACATTTTTCCAGTCCTAGATGTGAAATCAGCCATTTCTCCTAGGAGTCCTGGCTCCTTTAAGTGAAGAGTGGTATTTAGAAGTCAAGATAATTTGTATGTGCGTGTGTGTGTGTGTGTGTGTGTGTGTGTGTATACACATATATGTGTGTCTGTATATGCATACATATATGTCCATATCTATATCTTTGTGTATGTGTATATATATGTATATTATAAGCATGCATATTAATGCATGAATGCATACTAACACCCCATTTCTAATTTGACATAATAGGATTCATTTTAGTTAGCCAATTTCTATGTCTAAAATTCTTTTTTATAACAATGAGAAACGTTGTTTTCATTATTTTAAACATATTATTATTTACTTCCTCCATCAGTTAATGTGAAAATTTTCATGTTCTTTGTCTTCCTATGGTGAAGATGTGGGATTTTTTTTTAATTGAAGTCTAATTGACTTAAAATTGTATATTAGTTTCAGGGATACAAAATAGTGATTCAATATTTAATATATAATAAAATGATCACAATGATAAGTCTAATTACCATCTGCCACCATACAAAGTTATTACACTATTATTGGTTATATTCCCTGTGCTGTACGTTACATCCCTGTGACTTATTTATTTTACGACTGTAATTTTGTACCTCTTAAACCCCTTTATCTGTTTTACTCA